TATTCCCCTGTACCAATTATTTTCTCCTACCATTGTACTATCGTTAACGATTCACGCCTCTACGACGATAGTTGTTTCAAAATGACGCCCATATAAACTTTCAAAGCTGCGTGTTAATAGTAAAGCGGTTAAGGAGCGATGCTGACAAACAAATTTTACAGACGAATGCTCTCTGAGTTCTTTTTGAGAGGGAACTTTTCTTTTAATAATTTTAGCATAAAAAAGCTTTTCTCTAAGATTTCGTCTTTACCGTAGTGTTTTCTCATCGCCAAGCCAAGCCTACGCGGAAAAAAGCAGAGAAACGACCCCCTAAAGTCATTCTTGTTCAGTTGTCTGCACACACACCCCTTACATCTATTCCAACATCTATCTATCTATCTATCCGTACTATTGCAATTCTATCCGCGGATATAATCTCAAACGATGATTCCTCAGAGGCCACAGATTGGGCGAAATTTTTCTGGGTTTCTTAGGCTTCTGCACCGGGTAGTGTGCGCGGAAGGTGGAAGTCGATTGGACAAAAGATTTTACCCCATGGGGCGTATGTCTATATGATTGGTCACTTTCTTTTTTTATTAAACAACTTGCAAAAGAAAACGTAATACTGCACCAGCATTTACAAACGTCTGCGCGGCCACTAGCCGATCATCCGCGCGTCGACATCTCGTCAAAATGTACATATACATTCCCGTGAAAAATTCTCGTATTGCATGGGGCGGTTCTCTAAATCTGTGTGGCAAATTGCTGAATAGATGTCGCATAAAAAACTATATCGTAGAAGAACCTATTAGGTTATAGCTATTGTTAGAGAGCAATTGGTCGCCATTATGAACATGGTTAGTTTTTTACCCATACACAGTGAGTTAAGATGGGCTTAATAGCAACACAGATACCAGGTAAGGTTCGTCTGTAGCGTATCACTAAAAATACGGGCGTGTTTCTTTATTTGTCCGATCCAAATCGACCCTGTGGAGTGGTCGGACCAAACTGACCTTCTCGAAGCTGCTAACGTTTCGGCGTGCGCAAGAGGCAGCTGATAGATAGATAGATAGATAGATAGATTTTTTTATAAGGGGAATTATTTTTCCCTGTAGAGCATAACGTTAATTGGTTAGTCGTAAACAGACGAACCAAAACCCTTCTTCGTTCGCGACGTTCGAAAGCCATGCTGAATCACCACTTTGAACGGCCGCGATGGCCATCAGCAATGTCCGCGTTGATACGTCAACATATGTACAAATGTACACACACATAAAGAGACGTGAGGCACATACGTAGAAGTAAGCGCACGACGGTTTACAAGCAAATTATTAGAAACCTAGGCCATTTGAGTTGTGTGATGTAGAGATTGTCTTACATAAAAAATGCGCCCTAGAAATTGTAGCACATAGACATGTTTATGAAAATCGTATGTTTACGAAGTACCACGTGCTGTTTAGGTTTGTGTCTACCAATATTATAATCTAGTTATTTGAGGTTATAATTATTAGCTTTTTACCTAACATAATAAATAAATGTGCACTTCGTAGTAAAATAGGCACAAGGCGAAATCCGCCGGTCAGTTTAGTAGTTCCATATTATCATTATTGGTATTATTGAAAAAATGTTAATGTTTGGCCTCTCTTATTTACGAGCTCCATATGATCCTCCACCTGAAAGGTTCGTCACGTGCAGGACGATGTGCGTCAGGTCATTTTATTAACGTAACCCCTAAAACTCTTAGTGAATCATAATCTCGTAATCGTAACATAATAACAGGCGAGCCGGTACTGGAGAAAGTTCGACGACGGCGATAAGCAATTTTGTTAGCTGTAGCTACATACGCGTCTTTTTCGGGATCGTGCTTTGGAGACAGACTTGTCTGCGTGAACACCCCCTAAAAATCAAAAGTGAAACCTGCTGAGATAGCAGAAGTTACTGGTCTTCCTTGTACTCTACAATAGGGGATGAAGAAAGCGAAAATTTTATAGTCAGCAGTACATTTGCGACTGTGAATCTTTCTGAATGTGCGGGTTAAATATATACATGGCAGTGGGCGCCAAGATCGCCAAGGCTGCCGATGTGGTTATGCTGATGCTGACGGTCAGACTTCGGTTGAAATGTGTAAACGCACTCGGGCTCCGCTTCCCGTCCCTTTTATCCAGTCTCGCGTATATTATACTACTAACCTCAACGCTCAGATCAGATTAGGGACGAGATCGATAGCTATTCGCAGCAGCTACCAGCTTTTGGTCGGTCTTTTAGCTGACAGAGCGTTTCCCGTCGGAGCAACCCGCGAAGTCGAATTGGCGAACGCAATGAAAACCAGCGGACGTATGATGATCGGGGGCCTTCCCGCTGTTGTGCCTGACTGCGGTTTGTGGTCACCGCGGCGCTTCTGGAGTTCTCTTGCTAGTGCTGTTCCGTTCAGCACTCTCATTCTATGTCTCCCTCGAAATGGCGACTACGAAGCGGTTCGCGGATCAGCAGTAGTGGAAACGAGCAGGCAGGCAGGCAGGCAGGCGGGCGGGCGGAGCCAAGCTTCTCGCCAATCCCGACGTCCGCAACCCGTTCAACCTGAAAACCCTTTTTTTCGCTCTGCTTTCAAAGCGGGTTTCCTTCTGCCGTCGCCACTGCTGCTGCTGCTGCTGCTGCAACCGCCTGCGGGGGACGTCGATAGAAAAGACTACAAAAAAGCTTCAGCCTCGAACACACCGAATCCGCGTGTGTTTGCGTCTCGCCAGCGACCTTTCTATCGGGTTTCTCCTTAGCCCTGTCTCTCTTCTGCATTTCATCGTCGATCCGGCACAGCCTGAGCGGAGTTTCGGTCGGTCCGCTTTTTTTTTTGCTGGTGGCTAGCTGGCCGCTGACGCGGGGGGGACGGGGAGAGTTCTTTGAAAGCCACCACCATATTTTCCTCCTCGCGAAGGGTTTCTTCCTTTATGGAATCTGGCTGAATCAAAAAATCAGCCTGAAACAAGTACACCATCCGCCTGTCTCTCTCGGCATATCTGTTCGTTTGCTGCTGCTGTCGATGACTGACGCGCAGCGATGCAGCCGTGCCTATAGGTTAGCCGGCTCAGATTGATCCTTTGGGTGGCCGTCTAGTTACGCCGTTTGCCTCCGACTGGCTTTAACCCTCTCTCTGTGCTTGCATCGCAGCCGGTGTCGGTTCCATCTCTCGAAACAGCCACAAACACCGTAGAAAGGCTCGCATCAAGAAAGCATTTGGTAGCTAAAAATGGTAGTGCCAACTCTCTACAAGAAAAACCAGCTCTGATCGGACGCCGAGTCGACCACAAGAAGCTTTGGGTTTTGATAGCTAACGAAGATGCGTTGTAGCCAAAACCACATATGAGCTGGCACGCAGGACAACCCAGGATAGGTGCAGCTATGTTTGATTATACCACACTGTCGCAGTGTGCATGCTCAAGGTTTATCGTCGCGAGCTAGGTGGGCACCATTAAAACCTCACCAGAGGATGACACGGGAAGCAAAGGACAACCGGAGAGAAGTAGAAGGCTTCAGACGTACTTTTGGGAATGGTTGAAGTTGCGGAACGCATGCCTGATTCTCTGTGAATTGTCATTTCTCCCAGGGCCCAGGAGGATACATTCCGTACATACAGAAAAGGTTACCCCTCAGCTATGAGCTGTCACCCAATATGGCAAAACTGTTTCTTAGCTTCGCCTAAATTGCTTTCTACTCATCGTCAACTGCGAAGAATGTATTCATTAAATTCAATTGTAAGCTAGCTCTGTAAGATTACAATTTATCTTACATAAAGTCGCTTATATTGTAGCCAACGTTTAATGCTCGTCAAGTATGTACACAACGTTCTAGGGATAGCGTGTCAAATCTAGCGTATTTGTGAAAAAAGGGTTACTTTATCAGTTTTAACAATACCTAGACGATCAGGCAAGGTTTCAGCTTTTCTGGAAATACACGAACCGATCTACTTCGGATTTCACTACGGTATGGTAGCCATTAAAAATTCGCAGACTCCACTCTTTAGCATCAAGTGAACCAGATTTCTCAATGTTTATGCGCTGTTTTTTTCTATGAAGATCGGATAATGGTTGCCTTGTATAATATGTATATAATTGTATAATAACGTGATTATAGCAATTATCATGCCGAATTTCCGGGTAATTACTAAACTTTTGGCGAGACGAGTCACAAACAGTCGGACGATGCTAGAATTAACTTGTGCATCAATCCCAGGCTGGTGAGATGTAAGTTGTAAGATTGTCCTCTTATGTGTTGCAACTGTTAAAAAGTCCTTATACTAAATTCCATACTATTATAGTCAAAAAATACTATATAAGTCAAAAAAATACAGGTCTTCGTAGTCATGTCCGAATCATGCACTGGCCAACCTCAGGAGCCATTAGACAAATTTATCTTTTTCAGACTTTTCCTTTTGTCTTCTACTATGAGTTAATTGCCACTGACGTGTTAGTAAATTCGAATGTAGCGTGTGACATGGGTACACTGAAGCACTGCTTGGACACAGCTCTCTAATGAAATGTCTTCAGAAATGAATTGATCCTGAGCGATGTAGGTTCCACCCGCAAGATTTAGTGAGTCGTCAGCGGCTCCGTGCTATAACGGGTAGCTTCCACGTATCGAACGTCTGCTTGATGCCTGCGTGTCTCAATTCGTCCGTATGACATGAAGCGTCAACTAGATACGATATGCCCAAGTATTGAGTACGGTTTACCTTCTATTGTTCCTGTAGATCTCCAAGTGGTGAAGAAAAGCCCGTGTCGCTTTAGTGTATCAAATGAAAAGTTAGCATACTTTTATAATGAGTCCGCGTCAGTTGCCAAAAGAAAGGATAATATACATAAACAACATTTGTACACCGTGCAATATGTGCCTTTAATGGAGAATCAAAATGGTAATTTTCATAGATTATATTAAGTCGACTCTTCATGAAAAAACGTGTGTCTCTAGATGTGAGATAGATAAGCCACTAAATTATGTCTAAACATGTGATATTATGGTTATTTTTTCAGGGAAGTACATCAGCGAACGCGGCCGTGATGGGACTCGCACCGCAGGCACATCAGCAGACGCCTAAAAACTGGAATCAAGGACCGCCGCAGCTATTACCATTCTAATAATTATTATAATGATCGTCACTATTATTACAATTATTAAGTAAGTCATTATTATTCTTATCAGTAGCGAAAAGTGTTTAGGTTTCTTTATCATATTCTTCAAGATTACTGGTATTACTAAGACTGACTATTCATAACACAATTGTCGACACACGTATGCATAATGATGATTACTAAGTGAACTTGACTAGCTTGATTCTGACGGATAGAATACCATTACCACGGCCATTTTACGTCTGCTACAACTACCGCTATAAGCATCAAGAGTAGCACCAAGCGCGTAACGGTTGTGGGTGAGCGGAAGATTGGTAGCTCCAAATGCCGGGGGTGATTTTTGAACGAAACAACTACTGCGACACTGAGTCTGGCCGGCTACGAGTCACCTAGTATGCGGCGATAGGGTTCTTTTTAACGTAATGGCTGCTGCAACGTTGTTATAAGTTGGCTCAAACTATTTACCGTGGCTCGTCACCTCACCTTCCCATAGTGAGAGACAAAACGTGAGCGGAAGGGGCGGTCGGGGTGGCCAGGTGGAGCCCACGTTGAATCAGAAGGTTCGAAGGACCGCGCTGTGTGCATCGTCTCTCGTACAGAGTATGAGGATAGCGTATGTCGACTCGGTGTCGCGTACGATGCTGTCGCCAATAGCGCTGGCGTCTGACTCTTTGACTAACCGTCCTTGTGCCGCTGCCTTGTCTTTGCTGTCTGGCCTTTTCAACATTCAATGTCTAGCCCGCAGGCCTCGCCTGCATGTCTGCTGCTACTCAGCTGCAACGGCTTGCCCCCGCCTCTGGTTATGCTGTACCCTTTTACGCAGCGTTCGATAACAATATCGAGACCGAAATACTGAAAAGTGGGACCACGACCCGAGCCAGCTAGCAAATGACCGGAATGGTCGTAAGGGAGTCGTGAGGGCGGTGGCAATGGTGGCGGGTATAGCACAGCCACCCCAAGCAACTGACGGACTCACACTGTGGGAAAAAGACAACGTTGTAGAGAGCCCAGTACGATCGCTCACAGTGGCGCCTGCCTGCCTGCCTGCCTACCATCCAATGACCGAGCAATCTACGTAAATTCAAATTGTTGATCCGGTCGAAACCTCCCTGAAGGTAATCGTATATATGTAAGGAGAACGCGAGAGAAAACGATGCTAGCGGCGTCGTGTAGTCGTGAGCCCTACCCAGAATCTGACTCTAGACCTGAGATAGTGCGTCACCTAGCCGACGTGTTTGCCTTAACATTTCGGTCATCGTTGCTTCACTCCTAAAATTGTGCGACCCCCATGACGGTGCAGTCGCAAGCTTGCTGCGTGTGTATCATACGTCAGCATTCAATCGTACGGTACAGGCAAGTGCTATGACAGCGTAAACTATATCGTTGCTACGTCTCTACAAAACGCCTTCTGTACCCAGGCTAAACTTGATTATACCCCATTATAGTCCCCTCCATTGCATGCCAGGGTGGGCGGGGCAGTAGAGGGCAAGTAGAGTGCATGACTGGGTCAACGAAAGCCCAAAGCCTCACTTGGACGTCATTCCCGTGACCCATGAAGCTCCGTGAAGTATGTACCAGGGCATATTAGAAGTGCTAGAAGCACATCGAGCGATACCGATACCGCGACCATAATTTGCACCAGGATAACCTGTGTCGGCAACATTTAACGCCCCAACAAATTCGAAAGGCACCATCCGAAAAAAATCCAAAATTGTAATTAGCCTCCTTGTATTAGGTCGATGTTGATTTTGAGGTTTATTAAAAGTAATTTAGAAAACTACGTTATACGAGTGATCAAGATTAATATTTGGTTCTTCGAGTGACGGCATAAAAATTGAAAAAGTTACTCAGCCGTCAACCAAGTTGCCCAAGTTCATAAGTGTCAACAGTGTATTATCTATAATTCGAATCACGTACAAAATAATATATAAATAAAGACAAAGGAAATAAATGAACGAAAGTTTATCTCTGAAACAGCAGTCATTTGCTAATCTGATTGAACGAAAGCGAAGCCATATGAAGTACGGTCGGTAAGCTGTGTCGGAGGTGAAGTACGGGGGTAATAAAGTCAACAGCTATAAACAAGCTCTACGCCTCAATATAATGATAGATTGGTTTTATTGCATCGCTGCGCATGTAAGTCCCCTTACACGCATATGAATCATTACAAACAAGTGCACACAGAAATTAGACTTGTAAAAACCAAACTTTGATACAAGCATAATCCTATCTGAGAATTTGGATTGTTGAGGCTTCAGTTGAACGAAAAACCGTACGAGTTAGGTATTCCGACGCAAAAAAGCTTCGATTATGACTGCTTCCAGTGAATTTTATTCTAATTCAACTTTAGCTCGACGTGAAAATTCGTCAGCCATAGATGATATGGCGTAGGCCTCAAACCCTTTGTGTCTAATTTTAAGCACAGGACACTTCACGCAATAGAACACAGTTAGAAATGGATGATCTTTCCAAGGAAGGATGCGGTCTGTACGTTAGAAATATACGGTTGTGGATAAAACGGTGTTGGGTATGACAATTATTATCAACGTATTGTTGCCCTTTAGCCTAGCCAATGGTAACTAATCGTATAAGAGCTATGCCTGTATCCTTAGGCATACCACTCTGCCAAACTTTCAGCGGCATATGGGTTTCTTTACTTCGCAAAGGCTACCGGCCGGAAAAGGCAAAGGATTTTCTGCCCTTGAAGGAATAACAGGGTGCAGCGGGGAACGCGGGCCAGCTAACGCAATTCCGGTGATATCATCATAAACGTCTCACAAAAGCCCACCGAACCGCCCACCTACAAACCCACTGATATCGAATGATCCCAGTGGCATCGATGCAAAAAAGGCTATGGAGAAAAATAGACGACAGAGGCGACCCACATAGCGATGCATTCGTAACCTTCAGAGGGTCCCAAAGGTTCTGCAGCCTCGAAGGATCGGCCCGCCTTGCATGAGCTGGTCCACAGGAACAGTATCGCTAGCTGGCTGTTTGCCCGAACGTATAACAAATACTATTTGATTTCTCCCATATCCTTAACTCCGTCAGTTCTGCTGCGCCGATGACGGAGCGTCAAGACGGCTGACGCGGCTCCGAAGTGACGGTAGCGCATCGTGCAGGACGACAGCGGCAATAGCATCGGAAGCGGTGTCGGCGGCAGTGACAGCTCCCATGAAACTGAATAGAATGAATCGTGCGCCATCTGTAAAGAAATGTATCATAGCAAAGTGGAAAATCGTGTAAAAGCACAAGACGAGCGAGAGAAACCGGCAGAAAAGAGTGAACGGAAAGTGTAATAGAACATGAACGTATGATGCACGTGTGACAGTGAGTGAAGCAATGATCGTCTGTGGTTGATTGGTCGATTATTTAATCGATTGATTAGTTGATTAATTAATGATTGATTTACCAACTCATTGATAAAATCTTCATATTGAATGATTTATTACTATTGATTAGGCTGAGGTGTGGTTCGGTAGCCGACAGAAATCAGTGGGCAAGATGATCTGCTTAGCTTCCAATGGCTAGTGATTGATCGATGAAGTAAGATGACATTTAGGGCTCATTGACTAAGTAGTACATCAATCGTTGACGTTCGTGATGTTAGGTTGATGCAGAAATAAAAAAAATCCGGTAAAAACTATTCTTTTCAGCACTTATGTGTGTGTGTGTGTGTGTGTTCAGTACATTATTATTTATTTTAACATAATGTTTGGTATACATAACGCTTTTTGTGGATGGGAGGAAAGCTTACGGACTGCGTGTAAGGATCGTGCCATAACATGAAGGTGATGGGCTACAGTTGGTTCTAACTCGTAACATTTAATTAATTATTTTGCTTCTTTTATCGTCGGTGATATGTTTGTAGTTTTTCCAGTTTTTTTTTTTTAATTGGGCATAAAGACACCTGCACATAATCGCATTGCGACACACTATGAACAATGACAGAGCGATGGGAGCAAAACGGATCGTGGTAAGATGATGATAATGATCACTATCTATTATTGTCGATGCCTATAACTTGATTTAGTAAGATAATTTGCGGCTGATCCTAAGGTGGAAAAGGGACGCCGAAAAATCTTCCGCATAGGATATAGATTAAATTATGTAATTATAAATGTGGTAACTTCTGTTGGTTAATAATAACGATATGCACATTGACTAGCATCACACAAATACACACGAGAAGACACAGGTATACAGATACGTCTACGCCCACACAAACACATGCTCCCAACTCGATACCAATCAACGCAAGGGGGCAGTAATGACGAACGCCACGATGGAGTAGTGCTCAGAAAAATTATAATAATAATATCCATAACAATGATCACAACAATTATAGACCGTTAGGTACATTCAAAATAACGACAGAGTATGTAAATGAATGGATGAATTCAGAAGAAGGCTTGCCGCCGTACGCCACCCAAACCAGTAAAGTCTCAAAAGGTGACAGGTGAACGCACAACATGAGAATTATGTGACAAGATCCACAATAACTAAAAATCAAGCGATAAACGCAGGCGTAAAATTGCTGAACGTAAATGTCTACCTTCACCATAGGTATTCATTTTCACAGTTGAGGGCGAGATTAAATCCAACGCTCGTTTGTCAAGAGTGCCATAAAATCGTTGGTTTATACGTGCTATACACAACGCGCGTTCTTACCCAGTACGCGCCACCAGCTCCAGCTGGAAGCAGCGTTCGCTTAAGCGAGCTCAAAAAGGTCATCTAAGCACGTTACCGGCCTATAAATCGAAAACCTGCATACCTAATAGCCTGCTTGGCTATACGCGTTACAAGTGTGCAAAAACCGCCACCTATACAAACCCTTTACGAATGAGGAGTATGAGCGTGTCGTGTAAATATATCAGTAGAGAGGCGGATAGATAGACAGACACATTTACGGGCGAGCATAAACATACATTAAAGCATATAAACCATATACGGTAACCATTAACATTCGGTATAACTAAGGCATATATAAATGCACCTTTGTATACAGAGGAGGGATGACACTGCACGACTCACTCCGGACATGATTTCGTCAGGATCTCATTTGAGCTGCTTGTTCCCGTTCCGATAAGAATCAGTGACTCAGGCCTGTGATCCTCTGGCCGCGCCGATCATGTGTTCCCACTCTTCCATACACTGTGTATAAGGACACATCTCCAACATGAGCATCCCTGTAAATCGTCAGATCATATATACACACACACTCAAATATATATATATATGTATATATAGTCATTATGGAGCTAAACTGTACGTACGGAAAAACGCGCCGCGTAGAGGATAATGTCAGCGACTTGGAAAATGAAGGGGAGCAATCGTATTCCAGTGACAGCGGGCCTATCGTTTTCGATTCATTGCTAATGATAAGCAGTTATTTAACTGGATACGAGTTAAAAATAATTTTTTCTTTGGCGATCGGTGCAATTCTCCGAATGTTTTAGTCGAATATTAAGGCATGCCATGCACCAAGGCTTACAGGCACATAGACTTTTGTGCGGATGGTGCTGACGATCATGACTAATTGAAAACTCGTGGAACCCAGCACTCGTGCTGCAGATTCTGTCTGGAAACACTAGTGATGATACACATCAGGCATCTTAGGCGTTCAGTTCAGGTCTCTGAAATCTACCACGTTGTTATGGCAGTGATTGAATTTTCCAGATAGGCATCAACAATACGGCAAATGTTAGCACTCAACTATCTATTTCCTATTATTCCAAGTAGAAGGAAAAGTGAAGGACCCTTTACGATATATTGATACATAGTCATTGGCGATCCGTCGAATAAGAGTCACCACAACGGGGCGACTTTATAGCCCCGTCAAAATAATGGAAAAGCTACACATTGGAAAAATCTCTCTCTCTCTATGTCTATATATATATATATATATATATATATATATATATATATATATATATATATATATAAGTGTGCAAGTAGAGCTCTATACATACGATACAATTGCGACAAGATTGGAGAAACGTAAGAGATACATGCAGGAGGCATTTGACAAAGGTGAAGAAGCTTCTGAGAGACAAAGAAGCTCTTGTAGAAAAGCTAAATAGATAAAATGATTAACTGGAATAAATGGGCTGGCTAACAAGGCAAAGCCAAACAAGTGTAGTTATTATAGTCACCTATGTACCTATATGAGCATATATATATATATATAATATAAATATTACACAGAACGGAATATATATAGAGCAAATATAGGAAATATTGAATACGGATATATATATATATATATATATATATATACAGACAAACTTACATATATGAACATATAGAGATGTCAAATCCAAATAAACACATCTTGGGGTCTAAGTAAAGTATGGTGATGAGATGAACTATATATATATATATATATATATATAAATTAATCTAAATAAGGTCGCTATAGCTTCCATAGGGAAGGTATGATGAGAAGCCTAAGGCATAAGGTTCATAAAGTCGAGAACATCTGTGTCTATATAATGGTGTGAGCTTTCGCTTGATGACGACGTGACTGGGCACCGATTTCGGCTCCAATAGCTCATAACGGCAGCGGCAGAGTGCGAGTGCGTTCGACACGTAAATATAATCGTCTAGTATAATAATTATGATAATAAAAAGCTGGGCTACGAATAGCCTTGAGGGTCGTAATCTTTCTAAACTACTGTTGCACCTCAACCCACCTAACGCGGTGCATCACTTAAGGCAACAGTGCCCGAAGGCCAATCTTATCAGGACCATGAATGAGGCTGTTACAAACTGTTACAGCTGAAAATAAGCGTAAAGGCGACGTGAGGCGAACACGGAATTACCATTATATGTAAAAGAGAAACAACAAACACTGAGAATAGCTTTCTTCAATGTGTAAGAAAAGTATTGCATCTGGCTGCGCAGTCCGAGTCACGATATGAAACGGACGGCTTCAAACGAAATGTGTTATATGAACGATGTGAGAAAATGGCCTTCGATCACGCCGATCTGTCGCAGGAACAACTATTATATGATAATAGGACATGCCGCTGCCTGTCAGTACACAGATGGTGACGGCGCGTTGGAAAAGTTAATAAACAGGTGCCATCGGAATGAATATATAATGTGAAATGTGTGTAACAACACAGGACAAATATGAAAACGTGTGAAATAACAACAATGATTATTAATATAATAATAATAATAATAATAAAAAAGCAACAAAACGACAGTCTTCATCAATTCGTTTCACTTAGAAGAAGATCATAGATGATAACGAGTAATTAGTATGTGCTAATTCTAAATCATGAATAGCATTACCATAAAAAGTAATAATGGCAAGTGGAATGGAGCTCTTGTATATCGTCGATGAGACAAAAACATACTAAATATCTGGGGAATGGAAATATAAACAACGCAGATGTAAGGCGATGTGCAAAAACACCGATAATAAAATAATAGTAATAGTAACACTATTGATAAAAAGACAACAGTATAATAAATAATAGAACGAACATACACAAACACACACACACACACACACACGCACACGCACCCACACACACACACACACACACACACAACAACCGTGTGAAGTTGAAATGTACAAATAGGTCATAAATAAAAATATTTCGCATAAAATTAATCTGAATCTGTTTTCATTCTGGAACGGTAAATAATCCTACCTAGAGTAGAGGTACAAATAAATACAGAAATATATAAAGAGCAATAAATCTAGCGCAGTAGACGCTGAAAATGTTTAGTGTATGTAATGAGAAGATTCCAAAATTGAGCAAAAATATTTGTTGTCCTTAAGCGCTACAATATATATATATATATTTTTTTTTTTTTTTTTGTACTCGACTAACTTCCGTAGCCGCGTCCAGTTCACACACAGACAACCGCATTTGTGTATATCTTTCTGGACGTCACCTGGTTAGGAAAAACATTCGACACCTCGGCCTGTTGTTCCAAGGCGTCGATTGACCTATATCCTCTCGCGCTAAACGTTGGCTATCTAAAAGCAGCTAAAATCCTGCGAAGAAAGTTCGTTTTCACATAGCGCATCATCAGCAAAGCAAATGGACAGATTTCAACTTGAAATATTGTCAAGTTTAGGAGCGGACCAAAGTGTGGTTGGAGAGTGTTATTAGCCCAGACTACTATCCTTGCATTTGTTTAACTTAAGAAGAAAAACTCCTCTAAATTTTACTGAAAAAAAAAGCTAGAATAAACATTAAAAAACATGTTATTAAAAAAGAAGAAAAGGATATAAATTTACGAATTTTGAATGGGAGCCTATGTATTTCAGGTAATCAGGTAAACGAGTATTGCACAGACTGACGAGCTACATCCATTATAGCCCCCTTGAAGCCAATCAGCACACACGTTTGCTATTTTTATTATTATATAAAGCATAAGGCAGAAACTCTGTTTGCTCTTATCTGTTAAACTGTGTAGCTAGAAAACGGTTTCATTTTTATCAACTGACAGATATGGGAGATGATCTATTCAAGTCTCGTTGTCACGTTAAATAAGTTCGACGTTGCTAAAAATAACTTCTTTAGACTCTGGATTACTTCACCGTTTTTTGCGAAGCTTGATGTATCGCGCATTGACCACTGCATTTTTACAAAAAAAAAAAAATTAAAGTTTGTTATTTTGTCAACGACGCTGCTACATAAGCATGTTCGTACTTGATAATTTATAGGCAGGCCGATTTTTACAACTTTATAAAATTATTTTCTTTCTAAAAAAAATTTCTTATTACGCTGTATCAGTTCTCGACCACGAATTAGTAACTACGTAATCAATCGATAGAAAGGCCAATATTTGTGAGGTAGTTTAATAATAGGTCTGTTCAGTATAATTACCTATGCCTCGAAGAAATATAAACATTTTCGAGTAAACAAAATTTATAAGAACATACCTTTAGAGCTGCATAGTGATTTATGCGTGACAGTTTCCCATGAAAACCCACGAATAACCTAGGATCTAATTCTAATAACTCTCAATATATACAAGTTTCTGAGCACTCGAACTTTAACGTATCCCTTTTTTGTTATTTTACATGCTGTTGTAATAACAACAATAATCACGATGTGACAAAGTGTCCATGTATGTTTCCAATATCTAAATGCGCTTATCTCTGTATATACAACACCTAAATTAGGACTTTTTCATCTTTAGTTTCTAAGATTATATCTAAATAAAAATAGATAAAAAAAATTATTTTACTTTTAGAAGTGTGATGTTTGGCAAACATGGTTATTCAATACAGTTACCATTGACCGTAACTGCGGCTTTGATTCAGCTTCTAAATCGCTCACAAGCTTGCTTTCAATGTTTTTATACAATTCCGCGAACGCCGTCCAGGGTGATCTCGCCTGCTCCACGTCGCCATGTAATGACTCAGTGGACTCTCTCTCAATAAACTTCCATTGGAAGTATCCCAACGGGTTCGAATCTAGGCCACATGTGCCTATCCCAAGTCATGCATGTGCTGTCAAATAGCCAACTCTGTTCCAATCGGCTTATACGAGCCGGCGCACCATCTTATTGGAAGACGTATATTGCACAACAGTTTGTAAAACATGTAGATGGACCTCTTTGGTGATGCCGTCCTTTTTTTAAAAGAAGTATGGTGGCTTGATGGTTCCTTCGCTAGGCACCACGTTCAGGACATAAACTTTGGGCCAACATTTGTTTGCAATAAATATATTTTCTGGATTCTGAGAAAATCGGTGATCATTTCTGCGGTTCATCTTTACATCGAGGATAAAGAAGTTGTGGAACTTAAGCGAATCGAAAACAATGTGCTGCTTCATTCTTGCGAGAACTTAGTAGCGAAACAGCGCCGGTTAAGTTTCTTGGGTTTGCTTTCACAGACAATCTTTCTGACTTCTATCACAGATGGTACCTGAGGCCTTGGTGAGTAATTTTCCGTAATACTGACTCGTACCAAATTTCTTCATTGAAGTTCTAATCAGAAGATTATTAGAAATGCATTTTTGACGGTAGTGATGAACTTCAGAGTTCGTGGTGCTTTTCGCTGCCGTTGATTTTCCTCTGTGCTGTGCTGGAACCTGCTTCTGCTTGTTCTACGGCCACCTACTGATTCACGACGTGGTGCACTGCCAATTTGGGGGGATTCAAGAAACTTATAATCTTGGTGGGGGCTTGTCTGGCACGTAAAGATTGAATAATAGCTGGTCTTTGCTTAAATTTTGAAAACAACACACTGTTGTTTGCCATGATGAATATGTTATTTTTTTCGTCCAGTGCATGGATGAGTGCACGCCTGTTAGGACAAACAGCTTACAAGTTTCTGAGTTACAAGGAATTTCTGTGCTATATATGTAGCATGTTTAAATCAGTTATTAACGTAACACACATATATATATATTTTGTAAGGTTAAAACAAATCTATTTCTGGATGATGGTATCCGTGTTATGCTGAATATGTGCCGTTCGGTAATTATAGGAAGTTTATTATTTAATCATACTGAGTGGGTTATAATTTATGGCCCAATCCGATTAAACCTGCTGATTTTCTATAAAATAACATACGTAACGAATTTATTTATTACTAAATAGAATATCTTGCGAGTTGATCGTTATGTGCTTTTAGGTATAGCCAAAAGAACATTTACCGAACGTATAAATAACAGGCTTTTTACAAGTGTTCGAATAAGCTCCGACGCAGCTCAGCAGGGGTGACTGATGGGTTGAATTGGACCCATCAGAGCTTCGAATCTCTAACTGATTATGATTCATTCAGCTCATATAAGTTAAATAGTTATATATACAATAACTATCAAAATGTCCATAAAGTACATTGCAGTTGTAAATTATATGAAATTTTAACGGGCGCATATCCGAACGCCTATAAAGAAAGATGGCACTTTCGCAAGTTTAACTAGGCTAGGCAATTTCTTTTTTTGTGTGTGTGTGTAATGCTGCAGCATTCGCTAACGCTTGGGTAGCTTTTGTTTTTTGTACATAATTAGTATGTAACAAGTAAATAGGGTTATATAATAGTATAGTAGTGTCATAAATAAAATAAGCGAAATAGGGTTCCACAAGCAAACACGAAACTGAAGCGTGATCGTCTTTTTCTTTTCACGAAAAGGATAAAAAAAAGTCTATGTGGGTCGCTCCTCTTCTCTACATGTAATTTGTGCGCTGTTTGATAACCTTTTATAGCGTGAAAAATGAAAATTCCGACAATATAGTAGCCAATTTTCCTATTATGAGTTGCACGATTTTTCACACTAATAAATGTTTTTTTTTTTAATTATACTTGAGGCTAACTGTGTAAGTTAGGAGAATTATCTCCTAGTCATACGCATATCGCACACTTACTTCAGCATGTCCCAAACTGAAGAACATTATTATTCCTTTTAATTAGGCCGAGATCAAAATATTCCTATCTACGATCCTATCTGTGATTTCTGCTCGTAGTAAGAAATGGACACATTTTAAATACTGTAATCATATGTACGTTGTTCAAGTTCAATTATGCAAGGCGGCTTGCTCACGTAAGAAGTTACAAGATTACTCAAAGTAAGTTCGAGGCAGAAACTGCAACGAATCATTTGGTGAACTCGGTTTGGCCATAGTTAAACTGCCAATAACTTACGCACGAAACTATAGAGTCACCTCTTAGCAAGGATCTCCAGCCAAGAGAAACCTTTTTCGGCTGTGTATAGCAATTAAATCAAATATACCAAAGTTTTTATATTTTTGTTCGATGATCCTCCGAAGCCGTTTATTCGAAATAGATATTTGGGTAACATCTTTTGCTTACGAACTTGTATAACTATATGTTTGTAACATATATATATATATATATATATGTATATATACATATATATATTTATATATATCAGAAGACTAGCAATACATATATATACAGGTCCACATATATACACACACACATACATATATATATATACGTACCGTGGTGATATATACATACATACACGAGGAGGCGGTCCTCTCGATTTGGATGGTGGCGCCACCTCGTGCGGCCACACGGAATGTCTCCTGGGAAGGTAGAGAAAGATTCGCCTTTCTGTGAAACCGCTTTCTAACAGTACGGACGGACTGAGCTGTCGTCTTAATGGCAGCGAAATTGTGCCGAAGTTCGCTCGTGTCGAAACCGGCAGTTTTCAACACCGGCGGCAACAGATGTAACAGGAACTTTGGAAGGATGCTGGTTGTCTGATTAATCAGAAGACTCGCGAGATCCACGCTAGAATCGAAAAGTTCTTGAACGAGGAAAAGGTCGCCCAGGCAGTTTGATCTCTACTGGCTTTTTTCATGTTTGTTTCTCTAAAAACGTACGCTTTCGAGCAATACGAACGCATAAAGATCTAAGTGATATGTGCATTCAGTGTTTTTTGCCCATCTTTGTAAAATCATGATTTTGAAAAAATATTGGAAATTCTCTAGTGAAAGTTCTTAGGCGAGTAAATTTCGTGCGTTAAACATGTTTTGCTTCGAGATGGCTATATGTTGTTAAATATTGAATACTGTTCTGCTTCTTCTGTTCTTTGTTTTTCGAGACACCCTGGCTCTGACAATGTGCCAAAGGCCG